ATCCCTCCTTTTTTAAAATTTAGTATTTCACTGTCATTATACATTGTATAATATCATATTAACATCAGATACGATTACTTTTGTTAATTCAGAATTCTACATTTGCAGAGCACAAACTTTTGATAAAAACTTTGAAACTAATAATCTAATACCCTCATTTTGAAAATATATGTAGTATTTTCTGTCATTATACATTATATTATAACATCAGGACTACTATTATTTCTAAAATTATAGCTCAGATCTTGGCTGTATCATAATCTGAATGACATGAAAAACAACAACTTAAAATTCACCGTCCAAATTCCTTGTTTGAAATCTTTTTACAGTGACAGTTTCTTTCCCTCTACGGCCAAGCTTTGGAATTCTCTCCCTGACAAGTGTTTCCCACCAACCTACACTACAGGCTTTCAAATCAAACTAGACATAGCCATGTTTCTTTCATCTTTCTTAAGTTCAATGCCGAGAAGTGGTCATATAGGCCTTGCATTGAAGTACTTCTTATTAAAAAAAATTCAAAACAAAACCAGGATCACAATTTAAATACTTACATTTGATGCTCTGGAAAACAGTGTATGATCAGACCTCCTTCTAGATTGAGCCTTGGCTTCAGAATATCAGCTGATTTTGTACTAAATTGTAGCTTCAAGTTACATTTCCTGATTGGAATTATACGCAGCTGTTCCTATTGTACATTCATGTTCCGTACGCCACGAACACACTGTAAAAACACCCCCGGTTTGTTCAAGTAACGGTCGAGACTGCCTTTCTGTTGAGGTCATTTGCATGCCAGGGCTCGAAATACTGAGTGCAATGCATTGTGCACCTTAGTGCACCCAAAATTCAGGAGCTGTGCACCCAATTTTTTTCTGTGGGTGCACTGGTGCACCCAAATATTTTTGTAGGAATTTCTAACATTAGAAATGTATAATAGTATACAGGATATTCTTGGTCTCTAAGTATATCAGAAAAATACTAGAATCTTTGTTGTAGTACTTGTTTAAGATTTTGAAGTTAGCTCTCATTTTAGATTCAAGCTCAGAAGAGGAACAGTAAGACCTGCAATTAGGTTTTGTTTCATATGGTGCATCCAAAAAATTTTGTGCACCTAATTTTTTAGGTTGGGTGCATCAGTGCGAGTTCCCTATTCTCAAAAGTGAATTTCGAGCCCTGATGCAGAAGTTCAAGGGAGGGTGTCCAGTCACTGAGTACACTGAGGGAGGCAACCGGACACCTCTTCAAGGTAAACATACAGTTCTAACATGGACATGTCAGAGACATGAGTACGTATCACATGTAATGGGGTAACCTATTAGTGAGTGAAGTTTATAATAATATAAAAGCCTACATAACTGCATTTGCCAATTTTTATTGAATAAGTACAGCTCTATATAGTGGGGGTTTTAAGTAACACGATTCTGACTTTCTAAGCCCTTTTTGAGGGCCTGCAAGGGGGGGTAGTGATTACGAATTACGCAAAATTTTCACCGCCTATTACGAATTACGTTAAAGTTTCAGAGCTGATTACGACTTAACGATTTGCGGCTAATGTCCAATTACGAATTACGTTGATTTTTGATGAGGCTGCCTATGAATTACCAAGTCTAAACCGGCCTGATTACACCTTACGAAAAAGGGCTTGCAGGCCCTCCTTTTTTTTTCAGAAACACAGTAATAAAATGAAGAAAACTTTCATCTATATCTCTGTTGTACTTAGTATTAGTTCAGTATTTTACTGGAGTTTTTGTTGCAGTTTTTCAAGTAAGTCTTTGTAAGGGAAAGACAAAGAGAGAAAAATACAGATATATATTTAATTTATTATTCTCAAAAACATTAAGTTTTAGAAAAAACTGCCTTATATAATATCTGTTGAGAGATAAAAATAAAGCTTTCAATTTCAATAATTCAGGTGATTTTTTTTCTTAAGTGTCCCTGTATCTGCTTGGAGATTAATTTTTACAGTCCATATCTTCTGGTAAAAATGACTTAAATCACTGATCATTTAAACTTTAGGGGGACATGATACCTAAGATTTAAGCTACGAAACAGTCCTGATAATTTTGCCATGGCAACAGGGGGAATCTGCTGACATTTAAAGGACATTCCACCTCTCACATTCCAGGTAAAGCCCACAGACAGGAATGACATGAACCTGTTTGTAAAGCCCACAGTGTGGTGTTCCCAGCATTCTCCACCCAAGTGCTCAAAACAAATACTGCATACCCAGGGAACATCTCAACACTTCTTCTCATACCCAGGGAACATCACAACACTTCTCGTAACCAGGGAACATCTCAACACTTCTTAAACCCAGGGAACATCTCAACACTTCTTAAACCCAGGGAACATCTCAACACTTCTTAAACCCAGGGAACATCTCAACATTTCTCGTACCCAGAGAGCATCTCAACACTACTAATAAGGCCACAGCAAGTAATTTGTATGGATGACATCAGCGCACGCATTAGTTTTTGCCTGATTTGGGAGAAAAAAAAGGAATTTTGTTGCCCTCTGACAGTGGTCAACATGCCGAAAATGGGCAAAGATGTCTGTTGCCATGCCGGAAGGTGGATGGCAGATAACTATGAATAACTACCCCCAATGCTAAAATATTGATAAATGTTTTGAAATATTCAGAGAACACGAATACAATGATTGTATTAAATTTCTGAAAGGTACATCATATATCTTACATATGGACTTGGTACGTATAATATGTATCTTACAATATGTTAGATACCTATATTTATAATACAATATGTTACAAACATTGTTACTGAAGGATTGTTGTAGAATTGCAAGTATATAGTCTGGAACAATACGATCTTCCACTCCCAATATCTACTTGGAGATTACTGAAACATGACTCTTTGCTTGTCCAGGAAAGGCAAAGGATCACATGGGTGATTTGTTGGTGCCTTCAATGTTTTACGAGTTACGCCTTCTTATTTTGATGATAATACTTCGACAAATTGTTAATTGTAATCTTTAAGGAATGCACAAAATGCAGGAATGCAGCTACGCACCTCACCCACTTACATGTACTTTAAATTGAAGTGATATCTTATATTTACTGTCAGGCCTCGAAATTAAATTTTTTTCCTATTGTCCCAGCACTGTCCCCAAAATAAATTTCAATTGTCCCGAAGTGAGGATGAACTGTACATGTCCCAACCTGTTTTTCAGGAAGTGAACTTGAAGTCAGTTTTATTTTGCTTACATTCTGACTTCCAGGCGCGCTATAATTGCAGAGTAAACGGGAAATTTGGAAGATTTTTCCAGAGCCAAACAAAAAGAAGGGCTGACATTCTAGATCTGATGTTGATTATTTTTCTATTGTACCCAAAATGTCCCAAATTGTTTTTTTAGCTGTGCCAGCTAAAATTTTAGTGGTCACTGGCTATCGGGACATTTCGAGCCCTACCTGTACCCCACACAGATATTATCTTGGTGACTGTACACTGTGTTATGCTCCACTGCATTCTGTGTAACCCTATATGCTGGGTTCATCTAACAATGCAGGATTTGTACTGATATGGCCACGTCACAGCTATGGTATCTGTATGGTACTTTACTAATCTCCAAGCAGATGTATAAAGGTCCAAGTGTTTTTGAGGCTTTTTGTACCCTTAAGAAATTCTAGTGGTGAGAGAACATGAGAGTACAAAAAAGGTATTATAATATATAGCCACAAAGGATACAAATGAACATTGTAGAACCAGAACCCAGTATTAGGTGCCTCCCTTGTTGTTCTAAAATCTTAGCCTTATGGAATTTCCTGCTTAAAAAGGTCTGAACTTCACTGAAGTAAAGTGGAATTTCCTGTACAAATCTTCGAAAGTATCCTTAACACATTGTCTTGACTTGAACATTTTTGATGAATTAAGTATCTCTATCTCTAACTATAACTATCTATATTGTTTGCCAAATGGGTATAACCTTTTCAAGTCTATAAAGGCCAACAAACATCTGTCCTCACTGTCTAAACAGTAACTCAAAACATTTGAGTGGCTCTCATGAGCCTTGTTTTTGTTGTGAATATGAAGTACATAAAATTTAAAAAATCTCGTATTGTTCTAACAGAAAAACATAAATCAACAATAAAACAAGAGGTATGATTATAAAAATATTAGAATGTTAACGTTACACAACATAACATTTGAATATTCAAGCAAAATTATTACATAGTAACATAAGTTATAATACAACGTTAGCCATTTCAGATAAATTTCAAGTCCAGTGTACAGTGTACATGTCACCTGATACATGGACTAACGGTCATTAAAATTTAAGTTCAAACAAACAAAAAGTTATGAGAAAATATGACCATGTTTTCTGTCAAATTTCCCGCCTATACCCTTAAAACAAAAGATACCCCTTAAGAGTTAAGACTTACTTTGTACAATTCTGCTGCTAGTTTCCGGGTCCAATCGCCATATTATGACGGTTTAAATGGCTTTTTTATCTGGTCAAAGTTCTAAGGCCGGGTATAGCGGGCCCCATGCCACACCTTACTGTGGAAAAACAAACTTTCTTTAGTAAACAAATAAAAATCCCTGAACGCCGCAAAACGTAGAAAATATATGTCAATTCTATGACTAAATAAGAATTTTTCACAACAGTTTTTCATTTAAAAAAATGCCATATTTTAATTTTGTCAGTTATCTTACTTCAATGCGTTTGAGTAATGGCTAATTAAAGAAATTATATTCGATTTGATATTTTCTTTTTTTTCTGATGTTGTCATTCCTCCCACATGACCTCATTTAACCTTAGATAGACGATTCATATATCCTAATGAAAGAGGGGGGTAATTTTATTTTCTACAATAGAAAATGACAAAAAAGTACCACAGTACTTAAATCCTTACAGATTAATATTTAAATAGTATATTCAACTGTAAATATTCATACCATATATGATGAAAATATTTCTAGTCCTACAGTTCCTAATTATGTTTTTCTGCAAGTCGCCCCTGTTCTTAGTACGGAATGGTATATCCCAAAGAGGGGAAAGTCCAACATGGCGGCAAGGCGACCAAAATTTTTTCGTCAACACAAACAAAAGTGAATTTCTGCAGAAATAAGGTACGTTTAGGTTCTTTTTGTAACTCTTACAATGGTCTACAACATAAGGGACCTTATTATTGAGATAAATTCGAGTTTTTATGTCTGAAAATGCTTGTTTAAACGGAAAATGGCACAAAATAACGGTCCCTTTCCGAGCTTTGCAAAATTGTCCTAGGGCGTTACACGCCTAGTAATAAATAATTGCCGGTTTGCAGCTGTCCGACGGCTTGACCAGACACCACTCCGGCCACTGAAACCACAAGGGGCTGGTCATTTTGATTGATATGACAACGTTTCACCCAACTGTCCGGTTGCACAAGTGCCTGTCAACAAAACTATTGTTGTTTTTGTCTCAAAAAAATCCACACATGACATAATTTTGTACATCTATATTCGTCCTTTAAACATAATTTTTGTGTAATTGTTTCGCTTCATTGATTCTGGCATTTAATTATTTGTTTTCAAATATTATAATTAGCATTCTTTCTAAATGGCCAGCTATATTGTTACCACATGCAATTTTGTATTTTGAGGGCCTTAATTAAATAACTTAAATTTGAATTTTTTTAAAGTGAAAAACAACAGGAACTGAACTGATACAACAACCACTCATCTGTATAATTTGCTCTTCTTTTTTTTCATTCCCGTTGTGTAAATTTTCAGTTGTATTAAATTCTAGCATACATTACTTTCATGTCTTTTTTTTAATTTTTGTCACATAAGCATTACGTTTGCCTATTTTTTATACACCGAACTGAATCAGTTTTGTTCTGTTATGTCTAGGTGTTATGTAGTTTATTTATAATATTAGTTTCATGATTAATATTTCCTAAGTTTCAACGAGGAGGACATTGTACAAGCCTTGCTTCTTTCCTCCTCCTGCACACTGTTTTTTTTCATATTTGTTAATTAATGTTTGTCTTTTTATTTGTGCAAATAAATAAATGAAAAATTTGTTTTTGTCCAGTGGCTTGATGTTGGACACTAGACTTGAGCCATGTCGGTCAGTGCGTACATTGCAGTTGTTCGTCCCAAAGTCAAGACTTCCCTGTCATCATCCGACTACAAAGCCAAGTGGTATGAAGTCATTCTTATGGAGGACAAGCTGGGAGATCCACAAAGGACAGTCAAAGGTACAAAATTTCTGCTACTTAGTAAAAGAATCTAGCTACACTTTTAAATAACACTGAAGTAGCCATTTGGCTACCAAATATCTATTGTGTAATTGGTTAAAGAAGGTTGAAAATGATTTAGCAATTTGAAATCTTGTGATTTTTAAAGGGATGGAAGTATTTGTTTATTTGTTTGTTTATTGGTTTATTAGAATTCACCACAAGTACAAACATACAAGTGGAAGGGAGGACAAAACAGGTGTATTGACACCTTTACAAGTTGTCCTCCCAAACACAACAATATAAATACAGTGCAATACAAATTACAAAGTCGAACAATTGTTGACATGTTTGTGCATGTTCCCGTTATTTGAAAGGCATTTAATGTAGTTTTTCAAGCTTGGAAACCAGATTTTTCAAAGTCAATATTCCAGTCACTTCTCGTTATCTACAATGTACATACTAAGTTGAAACCACACTATCCCAATGCATCTTGACCCTCATGGAGCAAAAATACCCAAATTCTGACAGAAAATGGTTACAAGAAGGGTCCTGGGCTGATTTTTAGGGTACCACCCAGAAAATAAAGGACTCATCTTGGGGCTTAAGCTTGTTTCTGCAGTTTTAAACAGTTACACTCAGAGTCAGAGTATGAAATACTGATTCAAATGTGCTAATGTGAAGCAGTTATTATGTGTCATTATGTTCTTAGTTGTTGTGTAGTATTGATGACATAAAATTTTACTGTAATTGCTTGTATTCCAGGTTTATTGCACATGAGAATAAGAGGAGGAGAAGACCCAAACAGACAAGTGCTGGAGTATGTTTATGATGCCACCAAGAAGTCCTCTTCCAAAATGCAGGGACTCAGAGGTATGTGAGCAGTAGGTAGTCCTTGTCATCTCTTTTCAAATGCAATTGTAGCCTATCTTGGTTGCTTAGGATTTCAGTTATTGCAACATGTATGCAATAGTCACTCACTCAGATGCATAATTTCATCATCAACTTCTTTGTTGATGTGATTATATGGGTGATATCCTCTGGAAACTCCAAAACTGATGCAAGCGTGCAAATAAAAAAAAAAAAGTTTAGCAATAAAAAAGTTACATTCATGATGAAATCCACAATGGTCATGAAGGTTGAACAAATGACACAGAATATGGTTTAGCGAATAATCTCTTCAAATTCATTTCTTTACATTTTCGTCCTTTTTGTTTGATTATAGCATTGCACGACATTGGTATCGTTTTCCAATATTTTTTTTGCAACTTACGGTACATATTTGCTCATTTTGTATGATTTACAGTATGGTTGAAAACTTTTTTTTTTGGAAACGGCTAAAAATTCATGCACGCGAGGATGTCATCCATATAATCAAATCAGCAAGGCCTTACCTAGGTATCTAAAATGTGATATTTCATCATGATGATGTACAATGTATATACTAAATGTATGTTTTGGGCTAGACACTCCAAAAATTGGAATGACATTGCAGGCCAAAGCCAGTGTGTAAACACTGTATTAAATTTACATATATCTTTTTTTTTTCAGGAAAGAGAGCAGTACAGATAGCCAGGTTTGCAGAGGATGAAATAGCAGGCAGAGACATCAGGAGTAACAAGAAGGCCTTCCTATATGTGGTACCAGTCGCATCAAAAGGTACATTACATCTAAATGAGTTTGATGATATAGAAAACACAGAAACATACATGTATGTATGCATGGTAACATTTGCAAAGCAAATGCATGAATGTTTACCTTCGCATATGGTCTGTTCTGTTAATTCTTACTCATTCATACAGATGGTCATACAGGAGTCTAAATCCCTCCTGCTATAAAATTGCAACATGATGTAACCCAAAACTAGTTACCATGTTGACAGATGTCTGGTTCAGGTCATTGACCTTACATTACATCAAAATGAGTTTGATGATATAGAAAAAACAGAACCATGTATTCTACAAAAGAAACAATAAAAGAAAGAAGAAAAGTAGGTATGGCATTGCTAAATGCCATGAGTGAATGGATATCACCTTTTATATCTAAGGGTTGGTACGTGGAGTTGTGTGACGTAACGGTAGAGTGTTTGGCTCAGACCCAAGAGGTACCGGGTTTGAATCCCACCCGATGACACCGATCTTGTGCCCTTGAGAAAGGCACTTCACATGACTTTCCTTACTTCACTCAGGTGTAAATGAGTACCTAGCTTCGGTTAGGGACGTCCCTCGGATAGGACGTTAAATGGAGGTCCCGTGTTTTTGAGAGCCACACGCCACACACATAAAGAACCCACCACACTTATCTAAAAGAGTAGGGGACCTTCCCGGTGTGAGTGGTTCAAACCTTACAGTCTGGTCTTATGCAGCTTGTACTTACATGTACAAAACTGGTGTGCTATGCCTAAAAAGCGGTTTACCGGTTATGTGAAACAAAAAGAAAAAAAAAGCACAAGACCTTACTACTAATGCGTGTCTGTTTGCGAGTAACAGAAGTGTGGATTTTTTACGTGTGAATCATTTGTTGTTACAGACCAGTTGAGCATGCCATCGGACCCGTCCCAGCCCAGTTTCTGCTGCCTACAGGACATCCTGAGGGTGTGTGCTGAAGGTCATGGTCACTTTCCAACCCTAACGTCCAGGATGCTCAGGACACTTGACCAGTAAGTCAACACTAACACTAGAAAAGTAACATTTTCAAAGCAAATGCATAATGTTTACCTTTGCATATGGTCTGTTAATTCTTACTTAAACACATTCATACACATAATCAGACAGGAGTCTAAATCCCTCCTGCTATAAAATTGCAACATAATGTAACCCAACACTAGTTACCATGGTGACAGACGTCTGGTTCAGGTCATTGACCTTATTGGTTGGGAGAAGAAGAAGAGGAAGAGGAAACATAGGGAAAATAATAATATTGTTTTCCTTCGGTAAACATAATAAAACACATTCCAAGAATGGTCCTCAGTAGTGCTGTGTACCTAAACCCACATTTAGGTACAGGCCCGGATTCAAGTCCAGAGGTTTATGTTCAGTTCCGGACTCGTAAGTCCATACCTAAACCCATGGCATATTATACAAAACTGCATGTTGGCAACCTTGCAATCTTCTTTGGACAAAATTTTGGCCACATAACATGGAGGCTGACACTTGATAATGCCCGATAACAATGTTTTCTTCATTTTGCAGCACAGATTTTGCAATCTACAGTAGGTTTAAGGTGATTTGGAAAGAAAAGTGGTGTGTGAAATTTTTTTTTTGGGTAATAGATCCGGAATCGGTTCTTGACTTTTAGTTTTTTGGACTTGAACCTAAACATTCTTACAAGTCCAGAACCGGTCCAGCAAACCAGTACACAGCACTAGCCCCCAGTTTGTAATCATACGATGACTGTAGGTCATATCTTCTGTTCAAATGCACAGTTGGCTGAAGGAACAACACTCAGTCCCACACGCAGTGGAAGCTCTCTTCCGACCCTCGGCGCTGGAGAGAATAAAGATGAACGTGCTGAACCCGGCGTACTCTCACGGCTCAGATCACCATGGAGACAAGATGCCAACGCCCGAGGAAGCCATGGCGCGGATGATGGAGGTGGAGAAGTGTGATATCGTTATTATCAACCCGGTGTTTGGGTCGGACCTGAAGTATACAAACCAGGTAGGCTCCCCTTAAGTCTCAACTATATGTCTCCACCCCTGTGGTGATGCCAAAATATTCTAGTGTTGAACTTTTGCTTGTAACTCTTTTGTAATGTTAATGAATTTGGGTCTGACCTGAAGTATACAAACCAAATAGGCTCCCCTTTAAGTCTTAACTATATGTCTCCACCCCTGTGGTGATGCCAAAAATATTTTAGTGTTGAAATTTTGCTTGTAACTCTTTTGTAATAATGAATTTGGGTCTGACCTGAGGTATACAAACCAGGTAGGTTCCCCTTTAAATCTCAACTATATGTCTCCACCCCTGTGGTGATGCCAAAATATTCTAGTGTTGAACTTTTGCTTGTAACTCTTTTGTAATGTTAATAAATTTGGGTCCGACCTGAAGTATACAAACCAGGTAGGTTCCCCAAGCAGTCTTAACTATATGTCTCCACCCCTGTGGTGATGCCAAAAATATTCTAGTGTGGAACTTTTGCTTGTAACGCTTTTGTAATGTTAATAAATTTGGGTCTGACCTGAAGTATACAAACCAGGTAGGTTCCCCTTGCAGCCCTGTGGTGGTGCCAAAAATATTTTATTGTTACCTTTCTGTAATGTGAATTAATTCAAAGAAGTACATGTTGTACCTGTTACTGTGTTGTACATGTGTATCATATTCTAGTTACTGTAGTATATGTATAGAGCTGACAGTGTGCGTATTTTCAGTGGTCCATTGAAAAAACCCAGGTGACGCAAAGTTGTGACTAGTGCCGTGTACCGGTTTGTTGGACCGGTTCTGGACTTGCAAAATGTTTAGGTTCAAGTAAAAAAAACCTAAAAGTCAAGAACTGATTCCGGATTTATTACCAAAAAAACAATGTCACATGTATTACCCTTTTTCTTCCCAGACCACCTAAAACCTTCCACAGAATGATAGATTGCAGAATCTGTGCTGCAAAACGAAGAAAACATTGCCATCGGGCATCGTCAAGTATCAGCCTCCATGTTATGTGGTCACAGTTTTGCCCAGACAACATTGCAAGGTTGCAATTTTTTGTATATGCCATGGGTTTAGGTCCAGACTTACGAGTCCGGAACTGAACCTAAACCTCTGGACTTGAATCTGGACCTGAACCTAAATGTGGGTTTAGGTACACAGCACTAGTTGTGACTCTACATACTTCTGAAATTTAATCACCTAAAATCTTTCTTCACATTACCCTCAGGTTGATGCGTATGTGGTGAACAAGTTCTATGGCATGGGAACTCCAGACTACAGTAAACTCAAAGTCCCAGACAAAACTGCAGACTCACCTCCAAGAAGGTAAGAAACTTTTGAGCATGAACATTTTAACCAAAAAATGAACATGTTTTGTATTCAGTACTTATTATGTTAACCAAAGGAAAACATATTGTTTTTGCTATGTTTCTTCTTCTTCTTCAAACATTGACCTCTGACCTGGCCAATGACGTGATTTGTTGACGTCTGTCACCATGGTAACTGGTGTTGGGTTGCATAATGTTGCAATTTTATAGTAGGAGGGATTTAGACTCCTGTCACCATATATATGAATGTGTTTGAGTAAGAATTAACAGAGCAGACCATATGCGAAGGTTTTATGCATTTGCTTTGCAAATGTTACTTTCTATCTCTAGTTATGTTTACCGAAGGAAAACATATTGTTTTTGCTCCGTTTCTTCCTCTTCTTCTCCAAACAGTGACCTATGACCTGACCAATGACATGATTTGTTGACGTCTGTCACCATGGTGACTGGTGTTGGGTTACATTATGTTGCAATTTTATGGTCTGCTCTGCTCCTGTCACCATATACATTTTGTACTAGTACTGTAGTACATGTATGTGAATGTGTTTGAGTAAGAGTTAACAGAGCAGACCATATGCGAAGGTAAACATTATGCATTTGCTTTGCAAATGTAACTTTTCTAGTTTCTTGTTTGTTTCCCCTCTCCAGAGAAAAGGCTTGGATGGAAGAATACCCCCTGCACAGGGCCATCTCTGTAGGTGATATGGAGAAAGTCAAGGACCTTCTGGCTAAAGGCACACCAGTACAGGAGCTGGATAAAGAGTCCTGGGCACCCATACACTATGCCTGCTGGTAGGTACCGAACAGAAAGTGTTGTGATTGGTCATTTCTGTTAATTGAATCACAGCTGGATCAATGGACAAGGAGTCCTGGGCACCCATACACTATGCCTGCTGGTAGGGACTTTATCTATTGAACAGAAAGTGTTGTGATTGGTCCTTTCTGTTAATTGAATCACAGGCAGGACCCAATGAAAAGATGGTATTGAACAGATAGTGTCACAGGGCAGGACCCAATGTATAGATGGTATTGAACAGAATGTGATTGGTCATTTCTGTTAATTGAATCAAAGTGCAGGAGCCAATGTATAGATGGTATTAAATATAAAGTGTTATGATTGGTCATTTCTGTTAAGGCCACAGCAAGTAAATTTTATAGATGACATCCTCTGCAGACTCCAAGTCTAATGCGAGCGGGCGGGCGAAAAAAAACAAGGTGGGCCAAAAAAAAACAAGGCGGGCCAAAAAAAACAAGGTTCCTACATTTTAAAATTTTGACTCAATCATCGTACAAATGGTTTTTATTCAGTGGGAACATCACATATACACACCCAGCATCACATATCACTGCATCAAAGTAAGAAACAAAACATTAAATCAGACCCTTTTCTTGTCTCCTCTCTTCATAGTTATCTGCCATCCACCTTCCGGCATGGCAACAGACATCTTTGTCCATTTTTGGCATGTTGACCACTGTCAGAAGGCAACGAAATTTCTTGTTTTTTTCCCCCCAAAATCAGGTGAAAATTAATGCACACACTGATGTGATCCATAGAAATTACTTGCTGTGGCCTTAGTAACTGTTTCATGTGATTTTATGTTGACCATATAGGTATGGGCAGTTGGAGGCAGGTATGATACTGTTAGAACAGGGGAAATGTAACCCTAACCTGGTGAACAGGAACAAGAGCACACCTCTGCACATAGCAGCCGGCTGTGGTCATCCTGCACTGGTGCAGCTGCTACTCAGACATCCAGAGATAGACAGGGTGAGATTGTTGTTGTTGTTGTTGTTTATTGGTTTATTTGTATCAACAACAGCATGCATATATGGTTGTCAGCCGTGATGTACAAGGCTGAATTTCGATGCTTGTTTACAACATAAAATCATTCGTAGTTACTAGTATAGTAGGGTCATGAATTTTTTTTTATTTTTTATTTTTATTTTTATTTTTATTAAGAATAGTCAACATAGCAGGGGTACATAGTACTCCTGAATTGTGTGGACTTTACATATTATTAAGTATAAGAAACGCACAAGACTTCTTGTAGAAAATCTTCAAATTATGCACAAGCATATAGATTTGTACAATGTAGGGACAATGTTAAAAGATGCATATAGAATACAACACCGGGTATTCGGGCATTGCCCGAGGTACCAGCCTGACCGCGGGTCAGATCGCCCAACGGTGGAGGCCAGAAGGAGATCTGACTCGTGGGAGGGCTGGGACCGAGGGTGATGCGTAATACACCGTGTTATATTTTATGTCATACCCACCTGAGAAAACATACATTTCAATGTGAAATGTTCCAAAATTTGGCATATCTAAACAAAAAGTGTAACAGTGTCAATTCCAACATCCGAATTCGGTGGTCAGAGTTTTGAGAGCGGCGAACTTGGTGCATTTTAATAAGAGTGTGGATTGACTTTGCTTTTCTTCCCTGTCAGAATGCCATGAACAAAGACGGCCAGACTCCCCTGGATGTGTGTGAACAGAACAAACAGAATGAATGGGAGCACGCTGCCACTCTACTGAAGGAGGCTCTCAATAAACCTGTATGTTTGTTTGTTTGTTTGTTTGTCTGTTTGTTTGTTTGTTTAGGATCTTCATTAGTGGGAATTTCACACTACTCTTCCTGGGCTCTGTAGTAAATAATCAGATGAGTATTTGGACCATCGCACACCGGGGCATGCCCTTACTCTTTTTCAACCTGAACCAGACGTCTGTCACCATGGTAACTAGTGTTGGGTTACATCACGTTGCAATTTTATAGCAGGAGGGATTTATACTCCTGTCTGACCATTTATATGAATGTGTTTGAGTGAGAATTAACAGAGCAGACCATATGCGAAGGTAAACGTTATGCATTTGCTTTGCAATAGGTTACCTTTCTAGTTTTTACATTGATATGTTTACCGAAGGAAAACATCGTGTTTTTGCTCTGTTTCTTCTTCTTCTTCTTCCATTCCAATCACTAACCTCTGACCTGGCCAATGACCTGATTTGTTGACATCTGTCACCATGGTAACTGGTGTTGGGTTACATCATGTTGCAATTTTATAGCAGGAGGGATTTATACAGTACTCCTGTCTGACCATATTTCATTAAGAATTACAGTAACAGAGCAGACCATATTCATTTGCTTTGCAAATATTACTTTTCTAGTTTTTATGTTGTTTTAATTTTTGTTTTCCGTCAACAGTACCAGAAGATCCGAGTCCACCTGATGGACGGTTCCCACAAGGAGCTGAGTCTGATCAGTGGGAACAACACCACGGTGGAGATCATGTTGAACCAGCTCAACTTTCCTGACTCCTGTAAACAGCTTTTTGCCATCTGGATAGCCTCCAGGAACCTCTGTAAGTAGTTTACAGTTTTATTACCAAAATCAGCCTCGCAGCATGAGGTACATGTACAACAAGCTGATTCATATACTTGTATGTAGAAGTATATCAAGTTACATACAAAAAAGAAAACTCAAACAACGCTATACAAAATACAAAAAGTATAGGCGTCATTTTTCTTAAGCATATCCAGGATAGGCCACACTGACTTAATTTTATGGATGACATATGCTCTGAAGACCCCCAAACTACAATGTAGTGCGCACTGGCGAATAGGGCGAATAAAAAAATTCCAGTCAAAAAATGATGCTAAACCACAGAAGCACAAATTAAAGCTGGTATTGTGAATTGTTGTAGTGCATAGGAACTTCTACGACAAGCCGGCACATACTGGCCTTTTGCGGCATTTATTAGTCGGCACTGCACTGAGTTCTTGAGTTCCATGGAGCGTCGGCAGCCTGGGTGCCATCCTCCATAGTTACCACCAGCTACTATCGACTATAGAGGATGGCACCCAGGCCAGAGCCTCGGAGAAGGTGATTTTTTTTTAGAACAGGCAAAAATCTTTTCAGTAAACATTTATTACTATCATGAAAGTTCATCTGTGTTCAACTTGGTAGTCACATGTTTAGAGTTAAAACTTTAGATCCAACACAAAAAGTTCTCTCATGACATTGGTCTACCACATACCTTTGACCCAGTGTTGACGTCACACTTCAAGGAAGCCACGTGACAAGATTCACTGGGTCAGTCTACTGAGGAAGACCAGAGTGACTGGTCGAAAGCTCTAGGTGAGAGAACTTCTTGTGTTGGACAAAAAGTTTAACTCTAAACATTTATTTCCTTCCTTTAGTTCTGCAGATGAAACCGGAGCACAAGCCTCTGCACCATCTGAAGGACTGGGCTGAGATAGTGGGAGAACTGACAGACTGTAACCCTGAGGAGGAAACACCACTTCTGTATGTCAGGAGGGACGCACGACTACACATGGAGGTGGAGAGAAAGGTATGGTGTTGTTTGTTTGTTTGTTTGTTTGACAGACTGTAACCCTGAAGAGGAAACACCACTTCTGTATGTCAGAAGGGACGCACGACTACACATGGAGGTGGAGAGAAAGGTGTGGTGTTTGTTTGTTTGTTTGTTTGTTTGACAGACTGTAACCCTGAGGAGGAGGAAACACCACTTCTGTCGTATAACTTCGTATAATAGTATAGCTAATAACGTAAGTTTATTACGAAAAGAATTGTTAACTGACTTCACTAGACTAAAACCTCTATAAGGGAGTCTTACCAAAACTGTTGTCCAACTTGTCTTCTTGGCTGAAGTTCTGAAAAATCAAGACAACCAAAATTTAGTTTTACACACTCAATAAAG